AGAAAGTTCATGAGCCAGCAGTGTGATCATGTGGCCAAGCAGGCCAATGGCATCCTGGGATGCATTAGGAAGAGCATTGCCAGCAGGTTGGGGCAGGTGATCCTGCCCCTCTGCTCAGCCCTGGTGAGGCCTCACCTGCAGTGCTGTGTCCCATTCTGGGCTACTCAGGACAAGAGGGACACGAAGCTCCTGGAGTGGGTCCAGTGGAGGGCAACAAAGATGATTAAGGGACTGGAGTATCTATCCGTCTTATGAGGAAAGGCTGAGGGAACTGAGCCTGTTCAGCCTCAAAAGAGACGACTGAGAGGGAACCTCTTAATGTCTGTAAGTATCCGCAGGAAGGGTGTCAAGAGGATGGAGCCAGGCTCTTCTCAGTGGTGCCTAGCAATAGGACAAGGCAATGGGCAGAAATGATGCAGTTCCTAAGTTCCACCAGAATGAAAAGGAACTTCTTCACTGTGCAAGTGACTGTGCTATACTGAACAGGCTGCCCAGAGAGGCTGTGGACTCTCCCTCACTGGAGATACTCAAGAATGGTCTGGAGGCAATCCTGTGCCATGTGCTCTAGGAGGACCCTGCTGGAGCAGGGAGGTTGGACCAGATGTCCTCCAGTGGTCCCTTCCACCCTTACCCATTCCATCATTCTGTGATTGTAAGACAAACTTGATTTCTTGCAGAAATTATTTGAAGTTAAACAAGACTATCAACTTTGCAATTAGAATGAAAAAAAAAGACTAGGTGACCTTTTATTTAACTGGAAATGTCAATGTAAACCTTTATTACAATTTATGACAGCATAAGAATGCCATCACTCAGGGCGTCTTTCTCTTTGATTGCCAGTAAATGTAAAAATAATAGAGTTACACCTAATTTAATTTTGCAAGATGAAAGAGCAGAGCTTGTGCTGGTTTTGTAACCAAACAAAAACACTCTCATTTTGTATGCCAAAAATGAATGCATTATGTTATGAATCCAAAATCCAACTCACTCTGCTGGAATTGTGTTCCACAGTAATTGGAGGTGCTTTCTAATTGACATAAAAACAGTTACTTTAAACTGGATAAACAGCATGTGAAAGCTTAATTGCTTACAGAACAACTCAGGGAGTGAAGGTCAAGGTATTTACTATGAAAGGTTTGATTGTTAGATTATTCCCCTCTTTCCCACTACAAAATGTTGATTCAAATATGAGATTGCCAGGTGACAAAATACAGTTGGTCTGTAGAGAAGGAAGCCATAGCAAAAGAATCCCCACCTGATTGAACAGCTTGAGGAGAAGGGTTTGATTTATAATCTCTAGTCACAGAACCACATAATGGTTGGGGTTGAAATGGGCCTCTGCAGATCACCTAGTTGAACCTCTCTGCTAAAGCAGGATCACCAAGAGGAAGTTGCACAGGAATGTGTTCAGGAAGCATGTCCAGGAAACAATATTTGGGTTTCTCGTCTCATAAGACACATGTATGAAATTTTTCATCTTCATAGATAATATAACTTGACAAGTTGCCATATTTCCCATTTAATGATTGTAGCACTTTCAGACTCATCTTGCCCATAAAACTAGGCAAAGCTTATGGTGAGAGTAGTATAATACAAAAATAATAATGTAGTCAGTGTGATTTAGTTTTCTTCCTGTACTTATCAAATAAAGTATCATTCATTTTTGCCTGATCTATAAGTTTCTACTAAGTTTTGTGCGGCTGCAATAGTAAGACCAACCCCCCTGTGGGTGAGCTTGGGGAGCCTGGCAGAGAAGGAAGGATTAAGCTTGTTGCCCAGTTCTTTCTCTTCAGATTTTAGCAGATATTGTAGGATCAAAAAAGAAAATATATCTGTTCATCTACTTGAAGTTAAGAAAACCACAGAAGTACTTTATTATTTATTTATTATTTTTATAATGTATGAAGGGGGTGCTCTTATTCCTTTTTTCTGTACTTTTCCTTTGTAGCCTCTCTCCTCGTAACTATTGCCTTTAGTCAGCCCAGCCCTCAGTGACACAGCATGAAACAATCAGAAGCAATGGCTAGTCAGCAATCTTCTTGAACAATATTCCAAGATCTGGCAACATTAGGACGTTGTCCCATAAATTGGTTACGCTAAATCCTAGTGCTTTAAAAACTGGGGCAAAGTGTAGTGGCATCACAGCTCCTATCAGAGTTTATGTTGCATCATCTCGGATGATATTAAGCCTTAACACACATAGGAATACTATCCCAATTTCAAAACTAGGTGGGAGGGAGAAGTGAAGAGAGGCAGGAAGGGGTTATCTTATCAAAGCTCACAGTGGGTTTGTGGCAAAGCTCAGTTTGGTCTCCTACTCCTATGCTAAAACCCACAGATAGCAGCCCTTTTGCTCTGTAGAACTGCTTTTCTGATTAGCAGCAACTGTCAGCAGGCTTTATCTCATGCTCTTGCTCTGAGATGTATATGGCATGCTCTGAGGTATGTTTCATCCAAGGCCTATGCTCCAGGGTAATTGTATAGAAGCATTCAATATTTAAGGTTCAAAATCTGCTTTTGCAGAAATCTCATTTATTTTTTCATCTTGACTTCATGGCATAGGCACACCTGAGAGCACAGACAGAAATGCTGAGAACAACTTGAGTGGTAATATTTCCTTTGTAGAAAAATTTGTACAAGAGACTGCTTTTTTTCTGGACAATATTTACTGAAGCATTTTCAGAAGAAACTGAAGAGGGTCAGCCAATTTTTTCCAGTTATTTTTGCTTCAACAATTGCTGTTTCTTATTCTGGGAATTAAGTGGATAACCAGAAACCAGTTATTAATCTGATTCATTTTAAATAGGCAACAGAGGCAGAATTGAGATGGAAGGAATCTTCCATCAAGCTGCCAGCTGGAAAGAAGTGCTTGATAGCAAGCTGTTCAAAAATGCAACTGCATTATGAATAGCTGAGCGATCTGTTAACAAGGATGAAATACATTTATTTACTCCAGGTGAAGATGTTTGCTGTGTTTTTAAAAATCTGTTTGTTGAAAGAGCCATTAGTATCAAATATTTTGTCTTCCTATGTCAAAATAAGTAGTGTAATCTCTGCTAAATATCCTTAAGAAAAAAATGGGAGTTAGATGACCCAGTGACATTCAACTGTCTGCAAAGGAGACTGAATGAATACAGGTGGCTGAGAAGATGTTTAATCCAGCTTGGCTTTCTGATTTTCAATTATCTCCATTTAGACAGTTGCAAGGAAAAAATGCACAGGAAACTTCCAAATATCTCTGGATGAATTCAACTACTTTGACCATCAGAATTATTTTCCTATCAAAAAAAGAGAAATGGAAGCAAATACTGGTACAGATGCCCTCTGGGCAATTTAATGTTAGAGAGAAAGGAAACACTGTAGTTACAAACTAAACTTCCTTTAGGTTTAACAGTGAAAGGATTAAAACCCTTATCCTGTCGAGAACAGAAAATATAGGTGGATATTATTCTGTGTTTTCATTAGGGAGATTTTTACATGCAACAAGCAGGATTGCCTAAGCAATTAGGGATCAGCATGTGTGGACACTAATCTGTCATACTCTCACGAATGTTTAATTACCTTTCCAAATAAATTAGGTCAGGACTTGGGCAGGTGACCTCAGGGAAGAAATGATTTGTGATTCAGTGAAGTACTGAAAGAGATTGCTTGGGAATGCTGTGAGTTCTACATCACTGTGTCTATAAAGAGCAAGTTAGACAAATATGTCAAGAATCATAGATTTTATCTTCTTCAAGAACAAAAAACCAGAACAGATGACCTTGCAACATCTTTTGACACTTGTGACTCTGCACTGAATTTAGATATGCAAACAATATATATTAAATTTAAAGTAGCCTTTGTGTGTAGTTCAATTATTTGATTCTGAACTATGTCTTGAACAGCAATTAATTTTCTGTTTGAGACATAACAGACTGAATAAAGCAAGGAGGTTTGTTCCAGTCTTTTTTCAACTGATACACATCCTTGCTACTTTCTTTAAAGAATATTTGTTACAATTTTTAACTTGTTCTCTTTATAAATATGATGTATTTCTTCAGGCTTGCTGCCAAAATATTTTCCTGTTTGTTGCATGAGGTATTTATAATTATAAAAAGTTGCTTCCACTACTTTTTATGAAAGGAACAGTAGAAATTGCAGTGATTAGTGGGTCTGCTACTTTGTGGGCTGCCAAGGAAGAGGAAAAATATAATTTCCAAATCATTTTAATATGTTGTGCAGAACAATTCCCCTCTGAACTATTCCTTATAATGATAAGCTACTTGCCACCACTGAACATGCATGCCTCCAGTTTCAGTAATTTAAGGCAGAAATATACAGTACTGACATCTGGAGTCTGTTTTCCAAAAACAGGGTGACTTGCAAGGTAACTGACTGCTGCTGAAGAATCTGGTTGGGATGGATAAGGGTAGCAGAAGCTGGTTAAAAATGCATACCTACTTAAGTGGTCAGAATAGTAATTAAAAAAAGACTGGATGAGACCAACTTACCTAAATAAATCAATAAAGTTGATAGTTTCACGAAACTGGGTTTGCATCCATTGAAATCAGACAGAGATTGTTTGGTCTTTGTTGTTATAACACAGCAGTAAAGCATCAGGTTATGTCACTCAAATGCAGTCGTGATGGAGGACTTGGCTGTGTAGGGATGTTAATGTAAAGACAACATAGCATATGAGCAAAACTTCTTCAAGAATCTCATTAGAGCTACCAAATATGCCTAATTCTACCTTTGTGCTAGGCTTCTCCCATTCATTGCCTTGGCACTCCTCTTTCTAAATTTCAGGCTCACAGACACGAATGAGGGCTGTAAGCGTTAGGAGTATTACTGCTCTTCTACAGCAGGAAGCTCTTCAGGCAGCGCTACTGCTACCAGCGCTAGCGGTGCTGCCTGAAAACGAGGTTTTGGGATTCACCTGTACCGCGGCGAAGGCCTGCAGTGACAAAGCATCAAGAGCTGGCGGTGAACGCCTGCATCATTTTCGTATACCCGTAGGGCTGATGCGCCAACTCTTGGTGCCGTCGCGTAGGCAGTGCCGGGCGGGGAGTCAGGTGCGACTCCCTCGCGATGGCAGGGGGGACGCGCCGAGCCCTCCCAGCCCCCGGACCTGCCGGCGGCCTTCTCTGTTCGACGGACCGACACCACCCGAGGTGCTGCTCGGTCACGTTTGCCGCCGGCGGCCGGAGAGCGGCACATTCGTATTTTCCTTTCCCACGTACAAACAGGTGTATGTTTCCAGCCGCCCTTCCCGGGAATCATAAGTAACCCTGTCTTCCGCTTCTCCCCCCGCCCCCTGGCTATGAGGAGCATCTGCCCTTATCAGCCCGGCCACCCGCCCGGCCGGGACTGAGGCGGCGTCTCGGGGAAGGAAAGGGGTTGTGCGAGGGAAGAGAGAAAAACACACCACTACCACCAAAAAAAAAAAAAAAAAAAAAAGGGAAGAAAAAGAGAGTTTTGCGGGCAGGGGGAGGAAAAGGGCCTCTCCGCGGGTAAAAGCCCGGGGGGCCCAGGGCTCGGCGGCGGAGATAAAGGTGCCCCGCCTGCCGGGGGGCAGCGCCAGGCGCCCTCCGCCCCGGCCGCGGGCTCTGCCCTGCCCTCGGGCTGCGTTCCCTCCCTCCGCCCGCGGGGACGATGCAGAGGCGCCGGGGCGCTGCAGCACCGAGGGGCGCGGCGGCGGCGGGGACATGAGCTCGGGGGCCGTCCGGGCCCAGGGGCCGGTATTGCTGCTGCTGCCGCTGCTGCTGCTGCTGCCGCCGTGCGCGGGGCGGCGGCGGGGTAAGTGCAGCCGGGACCGCCCGACCCGGCCCCGCTCCCTCGTCCCGGGCCGCGGGGGGAGGGGGCGCGGGGACTGTGGGCGGGAGGTGGGCGCAGCCCCACTGAGACGTCCAGGGCCCGGCGGTGGTGGCGGGGTATGTCTTGGTAGTGGTGTTGGAGGCAGCCCGTGGTGGTGGCAGATCATCCCTTGGTGGTGATGGCAAAGGCAGCCCGTGCTAGTGGTGGAGCAGCCCGTGGTGGGCGTCGTGCTTTGCACTGGCTGCCGATCTCCTCGCTGCTCGCTTAGGGCTGTGGTGGCAGCGGCTTCGTGGCCTGCCCGGCTGAGAGAGCTTGGCCAAGTCGGGAGCTGTGTCTGAGGGAATGCATGGGTAGGACCGAAACCGTGAGGTGACTGTAGTGCTGGGGTGATAAATTGTGTGTTGCGATGGAGAAATAAGTCATGAAGTAGTAAAGGAGCACCGAGAGTCGACACATGTTTTTTGTCTCCTGAAGCAGCAATCTGAGGAGGATACTCCCAAGTCTTTTCAGAAGATTGAGGAATCATGAGAAAGTTCTTACCGTGGCTGTAAATCTAATTTTCAGATCTATGTTGGCTGCCATTGCATGCTGACAGTTTTTGTTTTCTTTTCGTATCTGAAACACATATAAGTATATAAAAGCATGGATAATTAGGAGCAGGAATCTATGTTGCTTCCCACAAGTCTTCAGGTGCTCAGAAGTGCACTGTGAGTAAAACAAACTGTGTGCATGTGGAAGGACAGTTTTATCACAGTGATAAGCTAGAAGCTAAAAGTGTTCAGATACCTTCTCCCTCCAGTTATGGTTATGTATTCAGACACCTTGTAAGGTAGTCAAAATTTTGTCACTGCTATATATGCAGTGAGGTTTGTATTCTTGCCAATTTGAGCTGTCTTAGGAGAGTAAAAAATTCCACATTTCTGTGTCAAGCATCACAAGACATCTGCTTGTGCAGTGTTAGTTGTTTCTTTTAAAATGTAAAAATGTGTAAGCATATACATGCTTTGTCTACATTAAAGCCATCCATTCTGAGGTTTATCATTAGTAAAGTGAGTGCATATGTGAAGATAACAAAAAGAGCTTACAAAAAATGGACAAAAGTGAACGTAATTCCATGAATACGAAGAAGAGAGTAAGTTTGTATTTTATTCTGATTTCATGTATACTTATAGCCCTGTTAAATTACAGTAAATTAGTTTGTGCGTTGTATGCTGTGCAACCACTTTTAATATAAATTAGTTTCTAAAATGACTTCAAGTCATTTTACTCCTGGCAGCATTCTCAACCTCGTTTTTATGAATAACATTTATACCACATTCATGTTGATGACACGTGATTCAAGCAGATTGATAAGCAGCCCAAATGTCTATGTGTAAATAATAAGGAAAAAAACCAAACACAAAAACCCCAGAGGAAACAGAAATCAAGACAAAAGGGAAACAAATTATTATGAAGAAAATATTAATAATATTGGATAGACCTATTTATTATATGCCTTGTAAGTCTTACTGACTGTTGGAAAGCTCTTTAGCTTGTTATCAGAGAAGAGATGGATGGACAAAAATGTTCAGTGTAGTTATTTCGTTTAATCCTTTCTGTTTATTTTTCATCTTTTAGTCTTTGAATACTATGGCTGTTGTTTTCCAGCAAGTTTGAAAATGAGGTGGGAGAAGATAGGAGTCCACTTTAAATTTTGTGCTTGTTACCCATACCAGGCCACCTCTAAGGTCCTCCAAAAGAAAAAAAGTAATTGTGTCTTTCTGTTCTTAAAGCAATTGTGAACAGATCAGTTTCAGATGTCTGTGCAACTTGCCACATTCATGCAACATGTCATCAAATTGAAGGAAAAAGTGTTTGCATCTGCAACTATGGATTTGTAGGCAATGGAAGAACCCATTGTCAAGGTAGGCTGCCTGTAAATAAACTGACAAGAAACTCAGTACATTTCTAAAATGCTCTTTCTCAAGTAATATTGATGAATTCTTCTATTGATGAGTTCTTCTATTAATGAATTCTTCAAAACGTGCTAAAAGCTTTGTCATTTCCAGACAGATCTTCCCAAACATAGGATATGCGTGGATTGTTTCTCATTACCAAAAGATTACTACATGAGAAGTGTTGTTCAGCTTTGTTTTGTTAGTATGGCTGATAGTGTTCTTCTAAGACTATCTCATACATGACAAATCAATATGTGAATCAAAGAACAGTGTCAAATGCTGTGTCTGAGTGTGTGTAATAACTTACCACTGCTTAAAGGGGATGGTTCTCCACCACTGATCTTTCACTCCATCTCTTACCCTTCCTTCACAGAGAACTGGCGGCTGCTGGACCCTGCACAGAGTTATCTCCTTATTGTAGGAGAAACATAGAATCTTAGAATGGTTAAAGTTGGAAGGACCTTAAGAGTCACACAGTTCCAACCCCCCTGCCGTGGGCAGGGATATCTTCCCCTAGACCAGATTGCTTCTCTGGGCATCCTGTACCACTGCCTCACCACCCTCACAGAAAAGAATTCCTTCCTAACATCCAATCTAAACCCACCTTCTCTCTGTTTAAAGCCATTCCCCTTATTCTATCACTACAGGACCTTGTCAAAAGTCCCTTTCCAGCTTTCCTACAGGTCCCCTTTAGGTACTGGAAGGCCACCATAAGGAGTCCTCAGAGCCTTCTCTTCTCCAGGCTGAACAACCCCAACACTTTCGGCCTTTCCTTGTAGGAGAGGTGCTCTAGTCCTCTAATCATCTTCATGGCCTCCTATGGACTCACTCCATCTGGATGATGTCCTTCGTATGTTGGGGAACTCAGAACTAGACACAGCACTCCAGGTGGGGTCTCACCAGAGTGGAGTAGAGGAGTAGAATCATCTCCCTTGACCTGCTGGCCACTCTGCTTTTGGTGCAACCCGGAACACACTTGGCTTTCTGGGCTGCAAATGCACATTGCTAGGTCATGTCCAGCCTCTCATTCACCAACATCCCAAAGTCCTTCTTGGCTGCTCTTGATCCATTCTCTACCTGGCCTGTACTTGTGCTTGGGATTGCCCCCACTCAGGTGTTCCATTAAGTGCTGCAATCAGTGCATACCGTAAGGAAGAGCAGAAGCAGAGAGCAGGGTCCTCTGGTTTCAGCAGCTCTTAGACTCATCAACCTGAGCTATGTCATGAAACTGTTCATCCAGACATGACAGCCTCTCTGGGTCTGAATATTTCAGCTTACTAATAGTGTTTACTTCCCAAATAATTTACAGAGGATAACAGTAAGAAGTCTGGTTATATGAAACAGAGTGAGGAAGGGAGAATACTCCACTTTTCTTAATCTCTCTCTGATGCGTTTTAAATATATTGACAGATAAAGATGAATGCCAGATTGGAGCCAGCAAGATCTGTGGAAATCATACACTGTGTCATAATACACATGGAAGTTTTTACTGTGTTTGCCTTCACGGATACCGAGCCTCCAACAACAACAAGACATTTATTCCAAATGATGGCACAAACTGTACAGGTAGACATCACAAAGAATCTTGAGCATGATGAATCCAGAACTTAATTTTTTACCACACCAGTCTTTCCCATCACTGTAGAACTTACTTTCTAACACCATATCAGAGCACTTTCTGTTGTGAATGCAAACACTTACTTGACATCCAGGTTCCTAACAGCTGTAAATTGGTTCTATTTTGAATTCTCTGCTACTCTCTGCAGAGTTGCATTCAAACAATGATCTTTCCAGAATAAGAAGGAGCTAGATTAAAGAAAATCATACTTGGAATTCCCCACAATGTCATATTTGTGTTTAGTGTAGAATATTAGCCAGTTCCTTGTTATAGTAATGAACTGTTACAACTAATCAAGATATGTGCAGACACAGGATTTTTCTGAGGTTGTTGTAACAGAAGAGAACATTGGAAACTCTTTGTCAAGTAAACCAGAGATAATTCAAAAGATAGATAGCTACAAAACTGAAAGAATCCTCTTTCCAGATGCTTAAAGACCACACAATTATAAACTCCTTTGTTTTAGCAGAAGAGCCATCAGAAGCCATGTAGAACTCTTCATGGAAGAGTAAAGTTTGGGCCCTATATTAATTAATTACTTTTAAAAACCTCTATTATGAATTGCATGTATTTTTTCTGAATTTTTAGATATAGATGAATGTGAGGAGTCTGGGCTGTGTGGTCACAATGCAAGATGTGTGAATACTGAGGGAAGCTACAAGTGTTACTGCAATGATGGTTATAAATTAGAAAATGGAGAGCGTTCTTTTCTTCCGGATGGAAACAGAGTTTCATGCAAAGGTGAGAGTCTTTGGATGCTGTTTTTGCTAGCAGACAAAATCAGTTGTTACATGACACAGTAGTAGCTGCTCTGGACTGTGCTTGTAAGTCTGAAAGGCAGAAGCTTTATCTCTGGACTTTGCTTCCTGTATATTTTTTTCTTCTTCATGGGTTCAGTTTGTTTCAGTGATGTCTGGATTGTAGAGTCAACACCAGGTATGATTCCTACATGTTCTCATCAGTGCTTCAGGTGTGCATGGTCAGAGAAGCTTAATAATGCCATGAAGGTAATGTAGTTAGTTTCTGAATAGAAAGGAAGTGTGGTTTAATCTACTTTTTTATATAATCACACTGCATGAAGGGAAAGGGGAGACTAAGTAGCTGGTAAGAGAGGTTAGCTGAATGAAACAAACCTAGGGGAGAGGAATAAAAAAATAAGTTAAACTATTTACTACATACTGTGTCTCCTGCATGAATAAACTGTTCTGTTTTTGTTGCCATAACAAAAAAAAGCCAAACCAAAATCAAGTTTCCAATTTGAAAATTCCTCTTTAGTGTAGGTTTTCACAGATGCAAATTGCTAACAGTGTAAGCTGTAGATGTCAGAGTATGTAATGAACCCAGGCATCCCAGGTGGAAGGAGCTGCCTAGATTATATCCAGCCTTTATTTATGAATTATTGCCAGAACCGTCAATAAAACTCACTGTCTGTAGTTTCCTAGTGTTCCTGACTGGAGTGCTCTGCTTTATTTGCCAAAATTGCTGATAACCCTGCTTATCTCATTGACTTCCCTCTCCATATTCTGTGGTGGTGTATCTCTACTGGCGGTGTTGTGGAGTCAGACAAGGGAACCCTGTCAAGCAGATGTGCCAAAGGAATGTGGCTTTCATATGCAAGCTGGTTCAGTGAAAAGAGGGAATTGAGGGGCAGGCCATTTAATTGCTGCTTATCCACAGTGCCTCACTTTCTCCATGCATAGCGAAATAAAGCTGTGCACTGGGGCCTGAAATTTTCCTCTGGTGTTAAAGTATCGTTCAGCCGTTGCTGTGATGAGAGTGACACATGCCAAGCACCATCACACTGCGGTGTTGCCACTTTGGTGTTGTGAATGGCTCCAGCTGTATGTTAGTAAGAATATAGCTCGATAACCGGTTTTCTGTGTTCTTCCAAATATTGGCAGGACTACTCCTCAGCTTATAATCTTCTGCCCTTTTGGCAACTTCTCAGATTCATCAGATCAGGTATATTTTGTGACTATCTAGTTCAACTCATTTTAAAGTGGTCAAGTGTTGAGATTTTTGTATTGTGAGCTCTTTTAACCCAGTCTCTTTGCAGAAATTGGATGTGGTTCCCCCCCTGAAATGAAGCACGGCTACATTGTGGGGAACTACAGCTTGCTACCAGGAAGTGCAGTTCATTATGACTGTCAAGAAGGGTTTTACAGCAACAAGGGCAAATTCTCATACTGCACTGCAAATGAAACTTGGGAGCCTGCCACTCTAAGCTGTGAAGGTGAAGAGAGTCTGAAGTATTTTTAAAATTCTTCATTTAAGGGGGTTTAAGCATGGGAAGTGTGTTTGTGGAGACAGTAGTCTGTTTTCTCAGTTTGAGGGATAGTTTTGTCAAGATCTAACTATTTGCAAAAGAAGAAAAAAGGATAGGAGAGGTTATTGTCTGCCTCTTCATGTTAGTGTAGTGATATTTTCAATGCTAGTCCATACATTTTTATAGATGTGTCCTGCCTGTGAACTGAGGCCTAGAAAACAATTAGATTTCTGTAGCATTTCATGAGATAGGCCACTAACTTGGAAATCATCAGTGACCTCTCATGGAACGACCAATTTTTCTGGCACTCATGAATTTTTTTCTGAAGGTTGGCTGTAGATACAAAAGGGAGGCATCATAGCCCTCTTCATCTCTGGGTGACCTTCGTGAATTTAAGAGCATTTGTGCATGAGCAAACACTTTGACATCTCTGAAGCATTAAGTTTCCTGTGACCATCTTTAAAACTTCCACTTGCTTTGGTGTTCTAATTGCCCATCCTGTTGAAATATTACTGCTTACAAGTGCAGGATTGACTTTGTGTTCCTGTGAATAGTTAGAAAATCTGTATATTGGTTAAATGCATTTGAAGTGCTAGCTAACAGAAGCTGTACTGTCTATAGCAATTCTGCAGGGGAGAATTGTCATCCTGAAAATTGTCACTTAGTGAGGAGAGTTTGTTTCTTTCAAACAACAAATGCCCTCTTGGTTTCTAATTCTTTCCCTTTTTCTTTTTTTTTTTCCTTTGAGAGTGGATAGAAGTGTAATGTTTCTCTGTGTGACTATGGGAAGTGAATAAATTAAAATAAGGATGCTGAACCAATGTGGCTGGGAAAACTGAAATATTAAATATCACCAGAAAATTCATAAGAAAGAAAAGATAAAATAATTTAATACTAAATTACTGGCATCAGAAATAAAACAATTGAAATAACATTTTTTCCAATAAATAAATAGAAGAACAATGAATTTTAAAACAAGAAGGGAGTGCCCAAAGTTTCAAGTGGTCCCTAAAGAAAGATTGTGGAATACAATCTTTGTGAGTTGTTGGTACATTTATGTTTTTGTTAATATTTTTCATAACTTGCTTTTTCATGTGATTTTTTAATTCTGCAATCAGACAGTAGGTCAGTTCAGAGTTTCTGATCACATCTCTTATATTTAATTGAAATAAAATACATGATACACCAAGAAATAGCCCATAAGTCTAAAATGACAAACTTATTTCCCCTTTGTATTGCAAGCTCTTTTCCTGGATTTCAATTAGGACTTCTCTTTTTGTAAAACCAGCAAACCTGATTTTTTTTTTTTTAATACTAGTAAAGGTACTTTTAAATAATTTGTTTTTTCCGGGTGCTACTTGACTTTGTTTTTTGTATTTGCCAATGACAACTCGGCATGTTAGTGAATACAGCAACTATTACAGTGCATTTTGAACATCACATAGACTCTTGCCTTAGCAGAAAGTTTTAGTATTGGTATGTTGTAACCTCTTCTATGGTTTTGCATTTTTATGATCTTTGTATACTTTTTTCAAATTTTGCTTTCTAAAGGCAGTTTCTGCTCATCTGCCTCCCTCTGAGTTGTTACTCACTACAAATTGTATAGAACCAGCTGACCACGTGTAATCAGGTTTGTAAAAGCAAGGGGAATATTTAAAGATACAAAAGAAAACCAGGAAGTTTTCCGTATACTGGCAGCTAGACTAAGGAAGGAGTCACAGAGTTAGCATACCATTTGGAAAGAAAGGCAGAAAGATGATGTCATTTTATTTGGAAGCAGATCTGGAGCAGCTACAGCACTGTCAGTCATAGTGGAAATGTTGCAGAGGACATCAGGAAGTGTTGGATTACTGCAGGAGAAGAGGGTTAGCTGGTAAAGGTAAGGGTAAACTCCCTTGTGGGAGTGCAGCTCTCATTACTCCTGCTAGTTGACTAACAAGGTTATTTTCCTCTTCCTTTGTCTCCCTAGGTGTGGATTGTGGGGTTCCACCTTCTGTTTTGAATGCACGTCCAGCATTTGTAAGTGGGACCACATACAGAAGTGAAATTACTTACAATTGTCTTCCTGGTTACTTGATTGCAAGCGGGAACAGGACTGCAGTCTGTAATGCCAAAGGACAGTGGGATGGTCCTGATTTGGTGTGCAAAGGTAAATAAAATCTGCCTTCAGATTTGTTTAGCATAGACACTGTTTCAACCACTGTTATTAATAGCTGTTATCTTCTGTGGGCATTCAGTTTATGCAGTCTTCTGGCATAGGAAGTTCAGTCCCAAAACAAAAAACGTATATTAAAAGGGTTTTTTTATTCTGTGTTGCTAAGAACATAATCCCAATGCATGTTGGGCATTGCAATTACCATGAGATGAAAATTCAGCCTTAATTGCTGACATTTTTCTAGTTCGATATCTACTCTGTGATTGAAGCCACTACACAGAAACTGAACTGCTGGTTTGTCATTAGCATCCCCTCAAAATTCTCATATTCAGAAAGTTTCAAGCTGCAAACTATGATTGCTCAAGCATGCTATTGGTATTTCAGATGAGTCAAATCCCTTATATTACTATGATTTGGGAGATAGCAGCCTAAAGAGTTCCTCAATAAGATGAATCACAGAGGTACGTTTTTTTAAAAAAGTATTTTACCCAGTAAAATTTGAAGTGTTGTTTTAATCTGAACTCATATTATTAATAAGAAACCTCAGAGTAATTACGTTCTTTAGTCAGTTTTCATGCAGGCACAGCTTCACTTTTCCATTTGTTGCATGATTAATATCTCTTCAGCTTGATCCAGTAGGATAAAGTTTTCTGCTTATTGCAGTAACATATAAGTTACAAAGACTCTGTACTTTTAGAGTCTTCTTTAATATTCTTTTTCTAGGTTACGAGTCTAAATAGAAGGTTTGCAGTGTTACACAGAAATGTGCTGTACTTCAGTCTGCTTACAGAATGGCTTTGGGGGGATAGCTGGAACTAAGCAGCAGGAATTTTTGTATCTCTTCACACACTGTTTTATAAGTTAAGCATATGCTTTATGTGTGTGTTAGTTATTCTAAAGCTTGTTCTGATGACTTATGATAGATACATACATTCATATACATTGGGATATGAAAAGGAAGGTAGTTGTGGTGGATGTGGATGTACTGCCCATTGCAATACATAATGTTTAATTTTTTCTTTAAAGGTTGTACAGATCACAGTTCTATAAACTTTGATTCTTACTTCTTTGCTCTCTTTTTTTTTTGAGTAGAATTTCAAAATCACTTAAGATTATTAAATGGTTTTAAAAGCACTTGTTTTCTGCATATAAGCTTTAGTGAAGGCAAGATTTTAATTCTTAGAGTATTTGCTTCTTGTAACTGAAGTGATGCAGAATCCTTTACTGGGGTTTAATGTCCACTGTGGATTTAAAAGGGGATTTTAATCTTAAACTAAATAATATTGTTCCATTTATTTTATCTTCACTTTTATTATTTTTATTCCCTAGTTGTATTATGAAGCCCCTGAAAACTGAGCAAATGAATTAATTTATAAGTTCATTATCCCAAATTTCTAATTATCTGCAAGATGGTTTGAATAGTCCATCAGATTTTCCCTCAGAAATGCTCCTTCTGCTTGTGTGTAGCAGCTTCTTTTTTTCAAAGCTTGAATTAAATCCACTGACAAAGGAACATGACCTTCTTGATGCTGTTCTTTAATGTCACTCCTTGGACCATGTATGTGTCTTTTTTCATATCTACTGTTACTAAAAGGTAAAATAAAGGAATAAATAGCATGTGGGGGATAAGAGAGTGTTATGGGAAGATAGATCCATTTATAAAAAATTTGCTAGAGATTCTAGCTCTCCATTTCTAATCAGGACACTTTCTTTTATTTTATGGTTCAACTTGTAGGATAAATACCCTGCCCTGCTAGAAAGTCTCCAGTCAAAATTTTGGGTTCTGGTGAACTGGCCTGGCTTCTAGAAGTCACTAAGTAGTGAGAAAAAGTGAACTGCTAATTACTTGCTGGGACAGTTCATCCCTCCATCTTAAACACTTTGATATGCCTTGCCTGCTTTCCTTTACAGGTTTGTTTTCCTGTTTTCCTCTGTTCCAGAGATAGACTGTGGCAAACCTTTGCTGATTCCACACACAACAGTTACCTGGGATAACTCTACCGCTCTGTGGAGCAGAGTGTACTATCAGTGTAAAGAAGGATATTATTTCAATGGAGACAAGAATTTTTCAGAATGCACAATAGATCAGTCATGGGAAAATATTACATACATATGCAAAGGTAAAAATTACGGTAGGAAGTTGCTGTGAATTGCTGTGAATTTAAATAGTTTGTCGTTCCTGTTTTGAAGGTAGGAAGAAGAGGAAGGATGAAGGCAAGAAGTGCCCTTTTAATATATGATGTAGTGAACATGGTGGTACTTTTGGATGAAACAGTTGTGGAAGAGTGTATGAACCATACAGCAGCCTCTGGTGGATACCACAGATCTTTCTGTAACTGCCTAGCTTTTTACCTCAAACAGAAAGGGACTAATGCAACTGGGTGTTCATTGCTGCACTGAGAACCTTCAGCTTTAAAAGCCAATGGAGTGTCACCAGAGAGGAAGCAGGCATTTAATGTTATTTTCTTGTGGATCTAATACTGTGAAGTGAACTGCAATGAAAGTAATGGAAATGGAATTCAAACCTTTTTTCTCCTTTTTTTTTCTTTTCTCATAATGACCAAAGCAATATTTTGCTTTGTTCATGATTGCCTTTACAGCCTAGATCTAGTTGTCTGAATTTCAGTACAGAATGATTTTCTTAATTAAGAATGAGTCCTGAGAAGGGGGACCTGTAATGAAGTTGTTGGCATGCTGTGGGCTTGGAAACAGACATTTCAATAATAGCGAAAAATAACAGATGTTTTGGACTATGACTGTTGTGCTTCTTAAGTGTTCTTCTGCATCCTAAGAAAGAGGTGTCACATGATAGTTCTACAGCTGTCCTTCTCTTGTTCTTAAGTAGCAATGCTGTCTTTTGCAGATGAATGTTCATTTAGCTTTGTAACATCCTCATGTTCCTCAAAGGGTCTAGAAGTGTGTCCTTGACTGCTACCACTTCACTTTACACAGAATTACTGTGTGATGCCTCTCTTGCCTCACTTGACATCTTGAGAATTCACTGTGAATATAAAACATGTGACATGAAACAAAATGAGCATTCAGAAAAGCAGTTCTCTCAGCATTTATAGTGCCCAAATAAAAATGAACTGCCATTGTTAGAAGGCAATTTAGGCAATTTGCGTGGCTGTACTTTGTGAATTGGTTTTGAAGACAACATTGTGTGGAGTGGCTAAGTTAAATCAGGTCTGTCAGTCTTGACATTGACAAGAGTTCTGTCTTGAGCACTCTGAAGCTTCGGAGGGCCTGAACCTGCAGACTGCACTCACTTAGGCTTATCATGGGTTTCAGCAAGAGCTTTGCCAGAGGCAAAGTGTAGACTCCAGCTTTAGCTGTTGAATCAGAGGCCAAAAAAGTCAGAGTTATGGTCAAGTAGAATGGCAAAAAAGCACTTGTAAAAGTAGTCTAAATAGTCCAGCCTCCTTTAAAAAAACTTAATCATGGACAGAAAATTAGTACAAAGGTCTTGTATCTTCTTGTCTTCTGCATTTTTCACATCTACTAGAGGTAACAAATGTAACAAAATACTTCAACATGAAATAAACTTTTCGGTTTTTATTGATGCCTTTGAGATATAGCTAATCTTAAGAGTGTATATAATTAATCAGTAATTCCCATTAAAATGAGAGGAAGTCGTGCTGTTTCCTAAATAACTTATAATAGAAGTTGGAAAACTGCTTGTCTTTTCCTGCTGCCTGAAAAACTGCATTAGAAATAGGGAAGTTAATAGAACATCCTCAGGAAACTGTCTTTGACAAATAATTTCTTCATTTCTTAGAAAGTGATTGCTATGGAATGCTCTTTATTTGTGTTGTCTGTTTGGATATATGATAAATGTGTGTGTGTGTGTGCGTACCATTATTAGGAGCTAGTTTAAATATTAAAAAATTGCTTTAAAAAATTAGTTTTACCAGTGATGATGATTGGATTAAGCCATCAGTAAAATGTGGCAATAGTCAGTTGCCACTGGATTAGAGTCTTTCTTTACCAACCTTTGATTTGTATACATAAAATCAGGAGACTGAAGTGCAGAGAACATACTGGCAATTAAATACCTGCTGTCCATTATGCTCAGTGTGTGAGCCTGGAAATCCTGTATAGCTTGTCCTTGCAGAACTTCTTCCCATGTGGAGTAGGAGTGCTTGGTTCCACAGAATCATAGAATCATTAGGTTGGAAGGGACCTGTGGAGGTCATCTAGTCCAATCCCCCGACCAAGGCCGGGTCACCTAGAGCAGGTCACACAGGAGCATGTCCAGGTGGGTTTTGAATGTTTCCAGAGAGGGAGACTCCATGACCTCCCTGGACAGCCTGTTCCTGTGCTTTGTCACCCTCAGTGTAAGGAAGTTCTTCCACACGTGGAGGTGGAACTTCTTGTGTTTTAGTTTCTGGCTGTTGGTCCCTGTCCTGTCACTGGGCACCAGTGAAAAGAGTCTGGCAGCTTCCTCTTGGCCCGTGCCTTTGAGATGTTTATTTTCATTTATTTCATTGCAAACACAGTGTGCTGTTGACTCCAGGCACACATTGTATTGAGCTCTGGTGAGATTTTATGGTAAAACTGGGACCTTTTTTCTCAGAGTGAAAATGAGATTCCCATGTGGGAATGATATTTCAGTTTGTTTCAGGGAAGGGCTTTGCCTATAAAGCACTATAGCATGCAGTGGTGGAATACAAGGTAGTTGGAAACAAAAAGCTTGCTTTTCCCATTGTGAATTCCAGAGCAGAAATTGTCAGCCTTAATATTTCTCTCATCAAGTGAGGTTGTTCTGAGTGTGGCTCAGAATAAGACATTAGGTAATGTAAGACTTACAGTTGCTTTTATTTTTATGAAAGAGGAAAATATAAAATAAGGCCTTGCTGCTTTTATTTTTATGAAAGAGGAAAATATAAAATAAGGCCTTGCCACTAGTTTTTCTTTTTGAGTGGATTCCACAAAGCACTATAAAGCACTTGATAAATTTTTGAAATTTTTAATAAATTTTGATAAATTTGATAAATTTTTAAAATTTATCATGGCTGTAAAAAGGGCAGAAAACAGCTGATTTTTGCTTTGGCTGTCTATTCAAGTTTCTTCCTGAATCTGTACTTGCAGTGTACTGCTGTTTTTCACAGCCATGTATAAATAATTCATGTCAACTGTTATGAGCTTAGTAGAAAAGTTGTCACATCTGTGGGCATTGATTCAAAACCCATGGTTCTGTAGGAATAAGAACCTGGTCAAACCATTAGGATAATATAGTCTTCAATGAAAAGGATCTGATTTTCCTGAAATCTTGTAAATGCCTAATGTGATACATACAGACATCTGGTAATCTGATAATTTCATTAATTGCCTGAGAAAACACAGGTGGAATGGAAGGTGCTACTTCTCAGATTAAAGTGATGCAATCCAGTTAAAGCAAACGAAAGTATTGCTTTTTGCTATTTATGTTTGAAACTCAATTAATAATTACCCCGTTTGTGATGACAAGTGACAGTCTTGGGAAGCTCTTTCAGCTTGGGAGTAGATCGCATGCATTTCTAATTGCAGCCCATCTATTTCCATCTAGTCTGACACCCTCGATTGGCCCATCTTTCCTTTGTAAGTATGCTCACAATTGCATCTGTTACATTTTTGTCAGTTTGGTTCAACACACAAATTACTCTGCTCCTGATTGTATCTGGGTAGTATTTTTAAATCAAGGGACGTACTAAATCATTAGCTACTTGTCTGCTTCTTCTTGAATGATCGTATCTGCCTGCAGCTTTGCTGTTTCTTTTTGGGTTTCCTCTGTGTAAAGTTTAGGGCTGAAGGTGAAAACCTGCTGAAATTTGGCAATCCTAGTTAAAATGAAAGCAAGTATGTTACTCAAAATGTGAAAATCTCATAAAAACTTACCTGAAAGTTATAAATAATGAAGATACATCTTTGTAAAGTAAATTCCATATGTATTTTCAAAGGCTGCTGTGCAGGAGTTTATCCTTATGCACTGAAGCAGTCTGAGTAGAAGTTCTCTAGGGATGTTGTTTGCTCTCATTTAATTTCTCTGTCTGAAGACTGTGTGGTCCACATTAGTAGCAGATGGTGTTTGCCCCGTCATTCACTACTTTCACAGAATTGAACAGGCAAAATGCACAAAAAAGGCTAATACCTGGATTTTTTCTCTCCTGAAATTTTCATGTATGTATGGGGATTGGTGGGAAGAGCTCTGTGAGTGAACTTGCATGTGTGGATGCCCTTTTAGCTACTTGCTGAAGATAAATGTCAAAGTGGAGCCGGTCCTATCTGCTTTCTGGTAAATTCTGGTTTTTCATGCTGGTTCAAAAATACTTCACTGATAAGATGTATCTTGAGCTGAGGTCAGTGGTAGTGAAATGTTCTTTCAACTGAAGACAAGTCAATTGTGTATGTGAAAGAAGTCATGTGTTTTTATTGGCTATTCAGACACAGTGGTATGTGTGTGACTTTTTTTATTTTTTTGTGAATCAGCAAATAATAACATTGAGCACTGGGTCCTGTACTCACAGAGACTGCTAAGCAAATTGTTAAGGTTAGTCCTCACGGCACAGTGTTAAGACAGAAGAACATGATAGGACAGGCATTTATGCTCTGGCTGTAAGTGCTGTGAAGTTTTTCCCAGACACTCAAGCACAAAGAGGCGCCCTCACTCCTACTAGAGCTTTAAAAGTGAAGCAAGACTGAGAGCTTCAGTACTTGTTTTCCTTCTTAGAATTGATATATTTGGTTTTCTTAACATTATTTCTCCCCTTTTGACACTCACTGGTGCTGTTGAATCACTTTGCTTGGTTTTTTCCATTCTACCATTTCTATTCTGTTCAGCAGCACCTGTCTTTCCTGGCTGCCAACAGCCGGGTGCTATTTGTATCTCTCTATCCTATCCCAACTTTGCCTTTCAGTATTTGACTCTTCCAGGATCTCTTTCCACCCTTCTGCTCTGGTCTCCAGGTATTTATTTGCATATTGTTTCTAGGACTCTTTCCCTTGGGATGGGAAGGAGATTGTGAAGGCAACCTGAAGGTCAGTGGAGTAGCAGTGACATCCACTGGCCTTGGTTAATCACAAGTTGAAATTTATAGTGCTGAGGTATGGGGAAATCAAAGGTCTTTGCTTATCCTGTTTCATTTGTGAGGTTGAGTGTAAGCTGTTGACCAAAATCAGATGCATTTAAGACCTGAATGTTACTATCTGCTGAGATGTCACACTGAGGCCAGCACAGGTAGTATGTTTCACAAATGGAGTTCCCAAGCTCTAGAAGTCACTGGCTCTGTTAGATTTCACAGGAACACTAGTGTGTCAAGGAACCTGTTTCCCTTTAGTATCAAGTACAGTTTTTTCAGAGGTACCTTTCTGCTGTTATTGGATACCATGTTTATATTATTGGGATTAATGTTAAACCAAGCACTTTCTGTGTATTTGGTTATCTGAACAAAGTGTGTGTGATCTGTAGGAATAAAAGAGGAAAACTGGTCTCTTCAGAAGCCCAGGATTTTGTTGTAATTGGTCTGTACAGCTTTTCATGCTCTTTCACTCACATCTATTTAAAATGAAAACTTTTGAAAAAAGGTCTGCCAGCTATTCTGTGAAGGTATGGTAAATGGTAATTATGTGGTGGTCTTGTCCTTCTTCTTGTCCTCCTCAAAATTCAGAAAGCATGACAAAAAAATTGATGTAGTTACAGAAAAAAAAACCCTACTAGTTCTGCTTTCTTCCTTCGAAGGAGGCGACATAAGATTTCTTTTCTTGCTTGAATACCCAGCATGATCACTTTTGTTGTTTGCTGCTTTATTTTGCTTTATAAACTCATTAGTCAAGTTCCAGATTTTCTTGCTCAACAGTCTTGGAAATTTTTCCTCTTTGCTCCCTGTCCCCCCCCACCTTGTTATGCATTTTAATTCAGATCTCATGGATATGCAAATGTTTTCCCTCTGTCTGTGAGTGATTTTTGTCATCCAGTCTTCTAAAAAACATGTCTCATTTAAAGAATACAACAACTGAACATAATATTTTGCTCTGTGTTGGTACAGAAGTCTTACAGTACAGTTTTTGGACAGTACTGTGAAACAGATAACAATAGTTATAAGCAGCACTTAGATGCAATTAATCACAGAACCATTTGTAAGGAAATTTGTTTTAGAGGACACGCCGATTAATCATTTCTCTTCTGAAGACATGGAAGCTTCCAACATCATTTTCATATTTAATGAGTGCAGAATAGAGGAGTTAAAATTAGTGGGGAGATAAATTGGTCCAGTTAGTGAGGCATCTATTTTTTGAATATATGGAGAAGGATATAATATTAGAAAACAGTTTTATGGCAGTATTAATAATCAAAAAAAGAAAAGAAAAAGTGCTGCAAAATATATAAACAGTTGCACTTTAGTTCTAAATAACTGCCTACAAATAGGTATGTTAGAAACTATTGATGTATTAATTTATTTTATGACAACTTGATTCCCATGTGCTACTTCATGGTAATGAAGTTTACATACAGAGGAAGAGTGCCTTGGTCTGTGCTTGCTTTCGCAGCAGGACATTACGCGAATTGTTTTATGAATATTTCAAAGTATCTACCACTGCTGCCCTATAAATTCCCTTCAATTTTTCAGCAGCCCATAAGGGCTTTTCAGCTTAGAATCTAGATGAGGTTGGATTTGTAAGACCTTGGTCATGTAGTGAATGTAATAATAAAATATGGTGGTAGGACAAAGGAATGACTATTGAAGGCTGGTGAGTGAAAGAAGAGGAGAAAATACATTCACTGTGATCAGAAGGAGCTTTGTTCTTGGCTCTGTGAGGGTGCTTGTCATGTGAGAGCAACTGCGCTGTGTCTGATGACAGCAGTGAGAGAACTGCCTAAAAAAAGAGTGGATGAGTTGAGCTTCCTGGCTGTGCTCTTTCTCTGAGGCATAAGCCTACTCTTAAAAGTGTGTGAGTTAACACAGGTATGCTGAGGGATCTATCTCTGCTTGCTACAACTGTACTTCCTACATGCTTAATTCTGTGGGCTTCATTCTTCTAATCTAGTGTTCGTTTTGAGAAGTGTTTTACTGTGATGGTGTGATTTAATTTTATTTATTAAAAAAACAAGAAAAAATGTCAATAGCTTTTAAAAAGCAACCCAAATAAATAATGAACCAAAACATTGATTCAGCTACAAGTAGGATCTTTTCCAGTCTACCACAGAAGCTTTCTTAAAAGTCATGGTTCAGTTTAGGTACTCCTTGCTGTGTATTTAAAGACTTCACAGTCATTGTCTTACAACATGCTTCTTCCTTTAGCCTGTTATTTTAACTTTAGGAGCCAACACAATTAAGAGAAGACTTTCTTCCTAACATGTGCCTACCTTGTTTGTTTTTTTCTGTTTAGGAAAAAAGTGAACAAACAAAAACCATAGAAAAATAAAAAATAAACAGTTGTTCCAAACTTAAGATTTGCTTGAGAAATAATGATTTTCCTTCTGTGTTCATGTTTTTGCTCACAGAAGAGGAATTATTCAGTAATTTGTCCATATTCAATGAAACATGTGTGAAATGGCAAAGGAAAACTGGAAGACTGGGAGTGCAGAAAATGTACACAGTAAGTAGGGCAGTATTTGAAGTATTTGAGATTGGAAGTAACTTTGTTCTGGTTAATTCTGCTAAACTAGCAGTGGAGATATGTTTTGTGGGTTTTGTTCATATGGTAATTTGTCTGGATCTTTCCAGTGAAGCACATAGAAACCTAACCGAGGTGGCTGGGTTAGGAAAGAAAAAAATTAAATCTTAAAGTTAGGTGCAAAACTCAAAATCTTGGGAATCCCATTCCAGTAAGTCACCTAAGCACCTGCTTGAATCTGTAAGAAGTTTCAGCATAAGTTTATGCGTCAGTGAATTCTGTTGCAGAGCTTAAGCTCAAATTGCCACAGAAAACATTGTAAAACTTGGACTCTGTCCCTATCTGTGACCCAAGCATTTCAAGTGAAAAGCATATCACTTAGAGATACTGCATGTAACTTGTTTTAGAAATGCAGAGTATATTGAAATAATGTGCCTTGCTCAAAAGGTTCAACGTTTTTATTTTTTTTCCCAACTTAAGCATAAGAATAAAAAAGTAATAAGAATTCCCATGTTTTGACAATAACATCCCAAGAAAGGTTTGGGGATTTGAGGGGGTTTTTTAAGTATGTACAAATAAGGAAAAAAATAAAAAGGGGATTATTTAGGGTCTCCAGGGTAGGTACTTTAATGTGGAAAATACGTTTAAAGACTGGGTAATAATTTTGGAAAACAACCCATCTCTCTCCTCTTGTGTTATAAACCAATGTATTTTTAGTTTCTATACTTTTATTGAGGACTGCTGAGATGGAAAAAACAGCTTCCCAGTTCCCCTAACAGTTCAAAACTGGTTTTTATGTACCCAGTGGTAATGGGCAAGCTGTCATCTCTGATATAATGTGCTCTATGCACATGCTCTTACCTGAACTCAGCTATCTGCAAGACACTTCAGAATAGTCAAAGTAGGTAAGTTTTTTCTGTCCCTTCATGTCATACAAACAACAGATTTATTTTCCACTGCACTGGAACAATCTTAGCGAAGCTTGTCTTTTATCCATGTGTGGCATTCAGTCTTTCTACTGCTTCTGTAGGGCAAGGGGGAAAACTGGAAAAAAAGAAAGAAAGTAACAAGCAGATGTAGTTTCTATCTGTGTGCTATAAATAAGAAACAGTATTTGTTTCCATCTTATTATTTGTGTTGGAATTTTTTGCAGGGTCCACCAAAGATTGCTAATAGATTGGATTAGATTCCATAATACATTCTTCTATTTGTTGCAGAAATATAGGGAAAAATACGGATAATTTTAACAGCCAGAAGACATTAAAGATCCATCTTGTAGCACCAAAACATTTAGTCAAAAACCTATTTTTTTGGTTGAAATGATCTTTTAAAACAGATGTAACCCCACATTCTCTTTAAGAACTAGTAGGATTAAATGAACTAGTATTCTGAATTTTGGATAGCCACAACCAATTGCACTATTGTTTTTGTTCCAATAGTTTCATATCCTAGGCCAAAGATGGGATGAGAAGATGTTCTCAGAAGATGTGATGTTTAACATCAGCACAAGTGAAGATAATCCACAGGTGTGTTTAGAGCTGAACTCTGGACGTAACTATGTGGTGAATATTACTACCATCTCTTCCAAGAACATCACTGTCTCAGTTACAGTATCAGTTCAGACAAAGGGTAGGTTGTGTTTTGTATTCTCTGTGCTTATAAAAGAACTTACTGTGCTGCGGAGTTTACTGATTTGAGTCTAGCAGACAGGAAAATGGACTGTTTCGTAGACTTTGTAATTCTTTATAATGACTACAAACATGTACCCACTGTCAGCATCCTCTTTTTCTGCAAAACGTTTTTCTTTCTGCTTACTATGGCCATTGCAAACAGAGAGTGGCAGTATAAGTGCCCTTCAGAAAGATTTGGCAAAGTTGCTTTTTCGGGATTTGCCTTCTGGCTGAGGCAGGATTGGTTCTGTGGCATTTCTGGCTACATGCTAGAATTTAATCCATGGAACACTGCCTACTGGTTTCCATTTCTTGCCTTGAAAAATTATTCTCTGCCTGTGGGAGAATTCCCTGTTGCTTAGCTGTGTGATACTAATCTAAGTGATATCAGCATTATAGACAGTGCTCCTATGTTTACCAGTGATTAACAGTTTTCAGGCAAGAAATGTTCTGAGAGGGTTTCTGTAGTATTTTGGTCATGGAAACTTTAAGCTTGCCTTCTGACATGCTAATTCTGGTGTGACAGACCTTGAGAAATAATTGCCTTTGGAATCCACAAATATGCTTTTTCTCACTTCCTGTTTCCTAAAGGGCAACAAATTGTTCTATGATAATTTCATTTACGTCAGAAGGTCTGAACCCTTGGATTTTTCTGTAATTATAACCTCCTAGGCCTGGACAAATTTCGTGAATAGCGTGCTTGGGTTTTTCCAAAAGCCATTTTCTCTGGAAAACGATCATGCTTTATTTACTTTTACATAGAAATGAGATTGTACCTTTATCTCAGAAGATAATGAAATTAAAAACCTTTTTTTTTAAAATTTTATTTTCAGTTACATTCAATTAAGTTGAAGAAGGTAACATTTTCATAATAAGTTGATTTCTTTTTTAATTGTCTCTGCAGTAAAAGAAGCTTTCAATAATGTATTAATTTTTAATGATACCTGCTTGAAATGGCGGAGAAATGTCAGGGAAACTGATGTGGAAGACAGATACTCAGTAAGTGACATTCTATGTTTTGAGTCTAGAAAACAATTTTTATCAATCACTTATGGGAAAAAAACTAATTTTTCAAACACTCATTGCTGGCAGTGTTCCTCATTATAATAATGTGTCTTGTAAAAACCCAGAGAGTAAGCTTGCATGGCAGTCTTCAAAAAAGAAAGAAACCACCATGCTCTGTTGTAGTCCCCTGATTCTTGCTTAATTTTTCCCATGTTATCCTCTTATTTTGCATTCCTTATCTGTACTTTAAAGTTTGTCATGTTCAGGCCTCAGACAACTCTATTCCAGTTCCACTGAGTCAGTTCCCTCTGCCTTGTGATATGCCTTTAGTCTCCTCTTATCCCAGCATGGAATTTCTACATGAACTGTCTCTGCCAGGACTCTTGGCCACCTGCTGTTGTCTCAAGTCTCCATGTGCTGGGAAGCACTAGGAAATTATCTAAAGGCATGGGATCTATATAAAGGAAAATTATCACTTGATTAAAGTACAGCAAGCATTTTAGTTTTCATTAACAGAGAAATCATTTGATCAGCAGAGGTCTAAAGTTAATGACTTCATGATCATTTAAGTAGTCAACAGCAAAACAAACAAACAAAACAAACTACTGGAACAAAAAAGACCCCATGGGTCTGTAAATTTGCCTGGAAACATAGGTGTCTGAGACAGATCCTGAGGTGTAGCTGGCATTTTGGCATGGGTCAAAATAGCTTGATTTTGTCTTGATCCTCAGGTTGCAACCTGAGAGGTGATTATGTGAGATTACTTTTATTACACACCATGAGAGTATACTGCAGTGAAAGTGAACTGTTCCTGGAAACCTATATGTTAGCGGGAAATACAGATTGGGGGAAGTTACCGTATTAATAAAAAAGAGGATAGACTGGAGGAGAAGTGAAAAAACGAGGACAATGTCAGATCTGATCAAGAGGGAATGCAATTCCTGTCAAATTTTGGAAGCTTTGGAATTTGAGTAACTATCAGTGCAAAAAGGTTTGGTACTCTCTGTTGATGCGTTCTGCTGTTTCTTCTCATTAAGAACATGAGGTGACTGAATGCAAGTAATATATTAAAATACTGCAATTTCCACGCTGTGATTGTTTCGTTGCAGTTTCATGTGCGAGGCCAGCGTTGGTATCAGAAGGACTTCATTCATGAAATGACCTTTGAACTTACCACACACAAGAAAGCTCCTGAAGTTTGTTTTGATTTACACCCAGGCACCAATTACTCTGTTAATATTTCCATGGTAGCTTTGAATTTTTCAATGCTTGTTTCCATGACAACACAAATTACAGGTAGGTCCTGTCATTTATTTTATATATTTCCAGTAACACCTAGGGGGTGTAAGAGACTCAGCATTGTTAATCTCAGTGTTACATGGTGGGTTGCCAAAATACTCTTTCCACACTCAAAATTGTTCATTGTTTGTTTTCACCGGTTTCATAGGGTTTTACAGTCCAGTGGCAGAAGGGGGAGAGAAATGAGGGTGCAGAGTGTTGAAATATCATTTTGGCACAGCAGGGAAAAGATAGTTTGGTGAGTTAGACACAAGATTGGTCTCTAGGAGAGCTGGGTTAAATCCCCTGCCCTGTTAGAGCCTAAGTCACTTTTTCAGTAAGAATTAATAGCACAACTGCACTTTATATGGGTATTTGTGACAACAGATAACACTAAAATATGCAAGGATTTTAGGGTATGGATGGTCCTGCCAGTACCTCAGACAGCCACCTTTGCCTCTGATTGGCAGAGTACAGAACATAAAAGCCATTTGAGCAAATATGGTTCTGTGGGGAGAGCCTCAGCTTCACAATTCAGCGAGATGTATGGCACTAAATGCTGTGATAATAAACATAGCTAATTTTTTTGTTTAGAATGATTTTGCACCCTCCTTGTACCGTCAGACTCTCTCTGATAGGCTATTACTGCTGCAGTATGAAGTGCAGTGTTTGATGATGGTATCACCTTTCCCATCAGGAACATGAGTTGGAATAAGACAGAAACATGGGAGCTCCCTGGTGTCTGTAACTTTGTTCAACCACTAGATGGAAGCAATTCTCTTCTGACTGCTTAGGAAGAACTGGGGATTTGTGGGGATTTTTGAAATTGATAGTGTTACTGTATTTTTAATAATAAATCTGATGGTTTTAAGCTTCATGAAAGGTAAAACATCTCTTGTTTTCTAAAGCTACTGTTTAGATACACAATGACCTGGATTTTTTTTTTAAATGAATTTACAGTAATGATCTGATAATTCATTTTCACAAGTTTCCTGTTGTGCCCATGAGTAGTGCCTGTGAGTTCATGCATCTTTGTAAAAAAACTAGTATGTTGTTTCAGAATTTTGTTGACTTAGGTAATTTTTGAATACATGCTCAGAGTATGAGCTACTCAGTTGTTAGCTCTTTACTTTGTCATCCTGTGATATTTCCTAAATTCTGCAGATTGCATCAGGTCGCTTACTCAGCAGTGCTCTGGAGAACACTTTGCAGCAGGTGCTTTGTGAAGTGGTATTTGTGTCTTGGCAGCTGAGTTAGTGCTTCACAAATGCACATGCATAGCCCCAGGAAAGGTCCTTGCATGAAATTTAGGTCATTTCCATTTTCAAAGAAGATTCCATTACACAAGCCTTTTTATATCTGGTAGTTACTTTTTTCAGTAAGCAGTAAAAAGTAGTGTTGCTCCATCATATTAGGAGTCTTTATCTAAAACGTGCCATGCAAACACTTATTATGCTTTTTTCAACAGAAACCAAAAAGTAAAGATATGTCTTTTTTGCAGTTGAAATCGAGTGAAAATTAAAAAGCAAACAGCAATCATGCTGCAAAACCCACCAAATAATAAGAATTTAAGTAAGATGTTAAATGTGTTGCTGTCTCATCTGAGATGAAAAAGATATATTTGAAGTTATTCTTCTGGCAGTGTACCTTTGACTTTCGGAATTGCATTGTCTATAAAAGTAACTTAATTTATATAAAAGCTATTTAATTTTAGAGGTAGGTGTATAATTTTCTTCTTCATTTGTCCAGTTATTTTGCAGTCCTGTATGTAGTAAAACCAGATGGTACCATGAAAATGCAAGATATGTCTTAAGCGCAGAGACTCTAAGGAAACAGAAGTTTACAGAAGTGTTTTACTGTTTATGGCCTCATTAGTTGTTTAAGGTTTCATATGCCATCCTTTAGAAGTGCATGGTTAGTTGGCCTGTTTCCACAGCTAGGGACAAATCCAAATGTTGTGTCTCCTTGGCTTTCACACACCTCCTGCATTTTGAGAGTTTGGGAAATCTTAACTGTGGTGTTTCAACTGGTATGAAGAGACATGTCCCAGACAATTGGATGATCAATGCCTTACAGACTAGATTTCCTGACAAGGATAGTAATCTTTGTAAACTTTTAGACTGTTGCAGAATACAGTAAGTATTATGTATGCTAGCAATAAGTTTGTGTGTTTTTTCAAAAAAATAAGATTTGTAAATGCATGTTACGAAAGCTGCTTCTGTGTCCTGAATATCTGTATCTGTGTACCTTGTGAATGAGGATGTATTATGTCCATAGTATTTCTAAATAAAAAAAAGCAAGAACTCAGGACTTAAAAGCCTGCTTTTCTCTCTGGCAAGTAGCATTCTCTAAAAAAATAGTTCTGTGCTGAACACAAAGTTGGGTTTGCTCATCACATCATGAATGGTAAATGCAGTCTATCAAATGCTTCATGGATCATTGAAATTGTGGTCCATTTGTATGTCCAGTAACAGGCATCTTGCACAGTCTTTTATGTTGCCTTTCTTACTTCGGAGAAACTCTCACCACCTGAGAGTTTCCTGAAGTAGGAAATTGAGTCAATTATGGAAAATTATTAGGCAGTGATTGTATTGTAGTTGTAAAAAAGATGGTAGCAAGATTGTCTTTTAAGCAAGACGGGATTTTGTTTCTGTTTCCAGAGAAGAAAAGGAGCATCTTGTGGGCATACGTGCAATTACACTGCTTACACATGGCTCTGTTCATTTTCCTTTTGGAATATCATTTATTAAGACATGCTCGGACAAGGCATTGTTCTTAATTTCACTATATGTTTTCGTATAATGTAAGATGATTGAACTTTTGCAACCACTTTTCAAGAGTTTGAAAAACAGAATAATAGACTAAGTGCTGAGACTTTTTTACTTTCACTTCTAATGTTCTAAATAGGAATAATTTCTTCAGTTGACCCACATTAAAATTCTGCTGATGTTTGAATCTGTGAACTTTGCTTTGCGTAGATTTTTTATGAAGGATATGACAAAACTGTGGTCTTCAGAAAGTTCACAAATGCCTAAATATTTACAGAATCTGGCTGGTCTTTTTTTTTTGGTTTAGAGCAGACCGCTATGACTTAAGAAATCATAAGACAGAAAAGACTTTTTTGTGCCTGAATTACCAATTGTATTTCCTTCCTGTAAAATAATTCGTATTAGATTGACTAACGGTTTCTCATTGCTCTTCCTCCTCTCAATTTTCTGCTTAGAATCAAGGTGTATTTTGAGCTTGTTCAGTGCGTACTATTCACATGTCCTGCAATTTCTTGCGTATTTGTATGTGTGCTTTTCAGTGGGTTTGAGTAGGCTTGAGTCTGTATTCCTCAGACAGTTTTAGTACTTCCTGTGTTTCTCAGCTGCTATTCTTTGTGTTTAAGCCCATAATATTCCTGCAGGCCACATACTCTTGCTTGTGTATCATCCTTCTCTATGAACACTTGAGTCAGAATGTAGACACACAAGCAGAGAGCCTAGAAAGTGACTTGAATTAGAAGAAGGTATTTCATCACAAATGAAATATAATCTTCTAGAGCTCTGCACTTTTGTGTTTGTATATGGAAAATATATTGCATTAGCAATCAGATTGTGATGTGATTTGTTCACCTGCCCATGCACACATAAAAGATAGACTATTGTTCTGCTCTATTGTATGATGGAAAAGACTTACACTTATTCTTTCACAAGGGGAATTCTTCAAGGTCTGGAAAAGGAGGGAAACCCCAAGACCTACTGTCCAGTGAGGAAGTGAAAGACTGTTGGAGCTGTGGTAATCTGACAGCTCTTAGTGTGATAACACACAGAGAGAAAATCTGGAGATCTGGAGAATCTGGAAGGATTAAAGTGTGCAGCTTCAGAGCACAGGAATTGCGAAGAAGGGAGTTTCTGATTTATGTAATGGGGAAAGGGGAGTGATGAAAACCTGAGCGTGATTTCTTTTGTTTTTAAAGTAGGGAGGAGATGCCAATCATGTAAACACTTTTATACATATGTATGCACTTTGTATTTTTATGCACAGACTATTCAAATACATGGTATTTAAGTTCATATGAACTCCACTTCTCTACCATTTTTCTGAACTCCTTCATAACAAGAATTTTTCATAAGTGTCTGTGAAGTCATAATAATTCTGAACAGTTCTCTCATTCTGTTTACAAAGCAATTGATATCAGTGACACAGTCTGTGCTTTAAAGCCAGTGCTTTACAAGTGGAATAAAACTCTGTCTTTTTACTCTTTTCCATCTGTATGAACTGGGGCCTCTTTAGTAAAGGCCTGGTACATTACAAATTTATAGTGAAAATTAAATGAATGAAATGCAAAATGGAAACAAACCAATACAAGAATAGGCTGTGTGTGGGAGGAATATAGATTGTAAATCCTGTTCAGCTATGAATTTATATGAGAAAAGGTCATACATACACCCTGGTACTATTTCCATTTTAAGATACAATCACAGAATCATAGGACAGTTTGGGTTGGAAGGGACCTATAAAGGTCATTTACTCCAACCCCCTTACAATCAGATCAGGTTCTTCAGAACCTGAATGGTTCAAGGCGTGGCACATTGACCACCCCTCTGGGATGCCTCTTCCAGTATTTTACCACCCTCAGTGTGAAAAATTTCTCCCTTACTGTCTAATCTGAATCTACCCTCTTAAACTAAAACTATTATGCCTTGTGTTTTCAATACAGACCCTAAAAAGTCTGTCCCTGTCTTTCTAAGAAGCTGCTTCAAGTACTGAAAGGCCACAGTAAGATCCATCTGGAGCCTTCTCTTCTCCAGGCTGCTGTCTCAGCCTTTCCTCAAAGGAGAGGTGTTTGTCTCTGATCATTTTTGTGGCCCTCCTCTGAACCTTCTCCAACAAGTCCACTTCTTTCCTGTGCTGAGGAGCCCAGAACTGGATGCAGCAGTTCAGGTGGAGTCTCACAAGAGCAGACTAGAAGGAAAAAATTCCCTTATCCTGTTGGCCCCACTTTGTTGGATGTAGCACAGGACACAGTTGGC